GAGGTATTTTTCCTCACGGTATAAACGCAACTGCCATCGGGTACTGTGACATGATCTTTGTTATAATCGTTTTGGGCGCATGAGAACGTGCGTGCACTAAGGCGATATATTCATTTACTTCTTTTTGTCGCGGATCAGAACGGTTTCAAAGATGGACGTCCGTCGCTCCGGGCGATGATTGCAAATTTGGAACGGATTGAACGAAACAGCTTAACACAATGCCGTTCCTACAGCCTAGCTGGCCGATCGAAGACCACAGGTACCAGAGGAGCCATGCATTTGAAACGCACGGCGGCGTAGTTATGGTCAGCGTATCTACCTCACCATTGAACTGGACCACTGGTCAACAGCGGCAAAAATCACTCATGTACAGAAACCCCTTTTGTGACGTCATCATATGAATGTCGAAAGTTGTATCGCCTTGTGAAGAGTAGTGCTACCACCGCAGGCAGGCGTCGTTTGACGGTGCCTGGTGTGTCGCTTAAATTCGGCACTGTCGACGGAGGAGGTTCGTTTCGTTTCGTTTCGTTTTCGGTAGTGGTGGTTGTGGCTGTGAAAACCAGTTGCGACATCATGTTGTCGTCGTCGTCCACGTCGTCGTCGTCGTCCACGTCGACGTCGACGGCGGTGTTTCCAGCTGAACAGCGAAAGAATCACTGTTAACAATAAAACTACTAACCTACTAACATGAGCCGGTATAAAATTTAGACTATTTAGTCCCTTGCCGCAAACACTCGCATTCACGCGTTACTCCTGCCCGGTCGTCGTCGTCGTCGTCGTCGGCGTGTTCTCGTCGTGTCGCTGGTCGCTCCTCCTCGACTCGGTCCGTCCGTCAAAGCCTCAAAGCGCCAAGCGTCGGTGTCACCGACCCTCAGGTCACCTCACCTCGGTCATCGGAGTTTTCGGCTCGGCTTCCTTGACTATGTGCCCAGCAGCGGCTTGTCCACTGCTGTTCGCCTACGGTCTGGTCACGCTGCTGGTCATCGACTGCCTGGCCGTCGTCGCCAGCGCCTCAAGTAAGTACTCCCGCCCCCCCCCAACCACCACCACCACCTGATCGCTTCCTTTAC